GGTTAAGGTCAGGTTTGGGGGTCAGGGTTAGGATTAGGGGTGGGTTTGGGGGGTCAGGGTTGGGGTCAGGGTTATGGGGTCAGGGTTATGGGGTGAAGAATAGGGTTACGGTCAGGGTTGGGGTTGGGGGCTCAGGATTAGGGTTAAGGTCAGGTTTGGGGGTCAGGGTTAGGATTAGGGGTGGGTTTGGAGGGTCAGGGTTGGGGTCAGGGTTATGGGGTCAGGATTATGGGGTGAGGAATAGGGCTAAGGTCAGGGTCGAGGGGTCGAGGTTAGGGATGAGGTTGGGGGCAGGCTGAGCTGTGGGTCTGTGGCGCAGCGCTGCCCGACCCCGCACCATGTGGGGCGCCGCGCTGTGGGGCGGCCGTGGGTCAGCGACCCCTCAGCGAGCGCCGGGTGAGGCGGGTGAGCAGCACCTTCACCCGACCCCAATGCGAGCGGCCGTCCTGGGGGGAGAGGCAGCCATCAGTGGGGTGGGGGGGTCCCGCGGCCCCCAGTGTGTGTGAGTGCGCCCCACGTACCTTGTGGGGTGCCGGGGGGGCGTCCGTGGGATCCAGCAGGCTGGGGGAGCTGATCGAGTGCCCCCACTGCGCCCTGCGCCGTGCGGGGCTGTGAGCTGCGGGGGGAGACGACAGTGGGGCGGACCCACAGCAATGGGGCGGAGCCAAGCAATGGGGCGAAACCCCCGCAGTGGGGATGGAAACCCCCGCAGTGGGGCAGCCCCCCCCCCGTCACCCACCTGCCGTGTGGCTGTCGGAACACGAACGCGTCCGGAACGGCTCCGCTCTGCCCGACCCCAAATCCGCATCTCCGTCGCTCGGGGGTCGCAGTGGGGCGCGCAGAGATCCGGCCCCCCCCCCGCCCCACTGCCGGAGCTGCCGGTTGTCCTCCTGCAGCCGCGCCAGGCGCTCCAGCGTCCGGCAGAGCAGCTCCAGGTACCGCAGCCCCTGAGCCGGCGGCACCGCGCCGGGGGGGGCGACGACCCCAGTGGCGCAGCTTTTGGGATCCCCGCAGCCGTGATCTTCGGGGTCCCCTATGCCACGTTCCTTGAGGTCCCAAATGCAACGCTGTTGGGGCACCCCGGTGGCACAGCTTTTGGGGACCCTCTTGCCACGCTCCTCGGGGACCCCGTTCTGATACTCTTTGGGGTCCCCGTTGCCACGCTCCTGCGAGACCCCCGTGCCATGGGCTTTAGGGCCCCCGATGGCGCAGTATTTGGGGACCCCATTGCCGCGCTCTTTGGGAACCCCATTGCCACGCTCCTTGGGGATCCAAATGCCAGAGTTTTGGGGGACCCCAATGCCACGCTCTTTGGGAACCCCAATGCCACGCTCCTTGGGGATCCAAATGCCAGAGTTTTTGGGGACCCCAGTGCCACGCTCTTTGGGGACCCCGGTGCCATGCTCCTTGGGAACCCCATTGTCTCTACAGTACTTAAAGGTGCCACAGTTTTTGGGGACCCCATTGCCGCAATCTTTGGGGTCTCCACTGCCACGGTCTTTGGGGACCCAAATGCCGTGGTCTGTAGGGTCCCCAATGGCACAGTTTTTGGGGCCCCCGTCGTCGTAATCCTTGGGAACCCCAACGCCGCGCTCTTTGTGGATCCCGATGCCGTGGGATTTAGGGCCCCCACTGCCACAGTCTTTGGGGTCCCCACCACCAACGCTGCGCCATCGCTGCCTGCGGATGCGGCTGCGGGGGTCCCGGGGGGGCTCGGTGCCGCGTCCCCTTTGGGGTCTCCTGGCCGCGTCCCCACAGACGCCGCTCCCGGCCCCCCCCGCGGTTTGGGGAGGGGTTTCGGTGCCGCCCATCTGCAGTGCGGAGTCCTCGGATTCGGATTTTGGGG